CAGTGGATCTTTTAATTGAAGAATTCAATTGGGTCCTCTACACAACACCTGTGCCACCTCTGTCACATACTATGCAGGGCCAGAGAGGAAACCCTGTCCCCCAGGTGTTCTGCTCAGGTTTTACCACTTCAAAACTTCTTCTCACTACAAGGAGGCCCCCTCAGGACTGCTGCCACCTGAGGGGTCAGCAGCACAGAGCTCAGGGAAACAGAGAAGGGATTTCCAAAACAGGTTCTAAGGTGGAGCCAGCCACATACAAAGGACAATAGGAGTGCTCACCTCTGTGTGTATAATTTATATAGACTTAGAAAGATACGCGTATATAGACATAGAGAGTGACTCTTCCAGTTCTATTCTCCTTCACTTCAGCTTGTCTCTAGTTCAACCTCTACTTCCCTTTCTAGCTGTACTCTGAATGCTCCCCTTATGGAAGCTCCACAGCTGCATGGTCACTTTCTTTGAACCCTTGACCCATTCATGGCCCATGACCCACTCAGCTGGCAGCTTGCTGTTCCCCCATTCCTCTTCCCTTGCTCTGAAATGTCCTTGTGGGTTTCAGGACTCAGTTTCTCTCTGGATCATCTCTTCATAGTGATCTTTATAGTGTTACCTTCTCCGTCCTATGTCTCTTTTTTCCCCCAACATTTGGAACTGTCAGGGTCAGAGCCTCTGCAGTGGACTTTGCATAGACCCGTGGGGAGGAAAGTGGGTCTTGCTGTTGTATTTGGTGTAAGCACCCTGCCTCACTGTCCTGACCCAGGTTACCAAAGGGCCCCTGTCAGCCACGCTACTTAATGCACACTTCAGGATGCTCAGGTGTGACATGGGGCAACTCAGTTCACAATGCTACTCAAGTCTCTGCTCTCTTGGGGGCGTCCTTGAGTCAGTGGGTGCAGCACAGGCTGAGATGTCACTGAATTTCCTCCGGGGACTGCTGAGCCCCACAGCCCCAGCTGGTTGAGGCCTCATCCTGCCCAACCCTGCCATGGACAGCAGCCTCCTCTGCTGGGTGATCTTTGGTCTCCTGGGCACAGGTGAGTCCTGGGAGGGCTTGGGCAATTCCCATCTTACCTTTACCTGAGGGCAATCCTAAACTTGCCCTTCATTCTCTCCTTGCCCTCTGCCTCCTCCACAGCACATATGGAGCCTGGAGTCAGACAAGCCCCCAGTCACGCTGTCACAGAGGCAGGACAGGATGTGGCTCTGACTTGTGACCCTGTTGCTGGTCAGGCTTCTCTCTATTGGTACCGACAGACTCCAGGACAGGGACTGGAGATCCTGGTTTCTTTCTATAACAAGCAGCCTTCAGGGAAGGCCGACTTTTTCAGGGATCGATTCTCAGCTGAGAGGCCTGAGGGAGCCTTGTCCACCCTGAAGATCCAGCCCACACAGCTGGGGGACTCGGCCACCTATCTCTGCAGCTGCAGCTTAGGCACAGCCCCTCAGAGACACTTCCTGCCCTTGCAGAAACTCCAGGGCTTCTGCCCCAGCTCTCAGCAGCCTTCCTGCCTCAGGAGGGTGGGCACTGGGTGGGACTGCAGGGGTCCAGTGGAGGTTAAAGTACCTCTAATAGAAGACTAAATAGCAATTGGGCTATCAAGGTCTAGGAATGCCCATAGATACCAGAGAATTGGACAGTGGACCAAAGTATAGAACAAATACAGCCATAGGACTGACCTCATAAACCTCTCTACTGAAGCTCTGCATCTTCTTCAAGTCTTGGGTTTTATTTTTACATATTTTGAAAAGTATGCCTTCCATCTTTCAGGTATTCTAGAGAGAATATGAAGGATTTTCATGAAGACACCTGAAAATTATCCTCACCTGAAAATTTTCCATTACATGGAAGATCTGACCAAAGTCTGGGTCTGATCAGGATGAATGATCTGGAATAGTAGGTGGCAAAGGCAGAGGCCCCTCAGGACCCCGGGACCAATACAGGGAGGCTGTTTTGGGAACCAGGACTATCCATGTGTGTGAGAGATGGAGTGCTCTAGGCTAGTTGAGTGCATATTTGTATCTACTTGTTTATTCTGGATAATGCTCTTAATGAATGACCTTCTACCTCTCTTAGCTGATTGGATGGCACCAAGTGCCAGAGACAGTAGGAGGAGGCTCCTTGCAGGGCTCTGTCTCCTTCTCCTACAGAGCATCTGTGCCCAATCAGTTCTCCACGTTTGCCTGTGCCAGCCTCAGCCACAGCACAGCACAGGGATCTCTCTGCAGAAACAGCAGTCACAAGAGAGAGGTGGCAGTGCCCCATGTCTGCTCCACCAGGCTGTGGTCCATCCCTAGTACCTTTCCCTCCACCCCCATCTTCCCATTCTGCATTCTTCAAGATACCCTTGATTCTGCTCTTTGAAGAGAAAGGTTCTTACTTTCCTTATACAGGCGACAGCTCTCACTGTACCTCAGTAGAGTCTCTGTGCTCCTTCCCTTGCTCCATACTCTTCTTTCTTCTGATTTCTTCTGGGGTTCTGATTGCAACCCCACCTCATTCCACTGACCATGCCCATCCCCTGTTTTCATGCTGCCTTCTCATGTTAGGCCTCAGGTGCCGGCTAATACCAGCTACAGTTCTATTTTTGATCATATTCAGAGGGCAGGTTCCATCTTCAAATATTGTTATAAAATTGGGGATTGTAGGTAGATAGATGATAAATAGATAATTAATATAGACATGAATCTATATCTATGAACATATCTATAGAATGTAAAAATCCATGCTAAAATTGCACAAATGTTCTGTAGGTGAACATTGATAAGTTCTTAAGGAAGTTGACTGGACTGAACTTGAGTTTGGTAGGCTCCTACTGAGTTAAAGTAGGCTTCTATGTTAGGAGCTGACCCTCCCACAGACACTAGGAGATAGGGTGCCCCCGTTCATCATTACATTTCAAAGAGATGGTTTGCACATCATTGATAGAGACATTCCTGGTTATAAAGTTGGTAATATAAACATAGCTTATGTTTATATACCTTTCAAAATGATTTACACAGATTTCAAAGTGGCAAAGAAAGAATTTACAATTACAAAATTTGTAAAATAAATGCTAGAAGAAATGGGAGGATGGGTACCCTGGAAATCCTGGGAAGACTTGAAAGTAGATGTAAGATTAAGGCTAGGAGGGGAAATGGGGAAAGGCTAGGCTCTGCATCGTAAGAATTTTTGGAAGGATTCCCAAAGTCTTCACCAAACCCTTCTAAATTCACCATACTAGGTGTGTTGGGTTTGCTGAGCTAATCAAGGACAGTCGTAGCTTTCTGTCCAGATCATGAGACTGGCTTAGAGAAGCCCATGGGAATATAGACATTCATTAGAATCACAGAAATCTTGGGAAAGACTTTGGATTTCTATACCTTGGGCCCTAGGACATTTCCTGTAGCTCTCAAAGAGGAGAGAACTTCACAAGTGTTATCTGGATCAAAAAAAATATTATCTTACACAGATTAAAACAGGTTAAGCAATAAAGTGATGATAAGTGTCATTATTTTATAAAACTAATAATACATATTTGTTCTTAAGAACAAACCTCTAAGTGTTTACACTAAAAATTGGCTTCTTTTAGAGACTCATATAACATTTTCCTCATAACAAACCCTTAGAAATGATAATATTCAATATGTCAGATGTGCTAACTATGATCTGCTATGAATTAACCTGAATTATGTGTAGGGCATTGTTGTCATTCTTGTTTGCATTGAGAATCTTCACATAGTATAATTTATCAGGTTTATTAAAATTCTTAGTTTTTCTAGTTCAATAATTTGCATTCTGTGGATATATATCGAGCAGTTGTTCATTGTCGTGTTCCATTTAGGCTACCAGAACAAAATTCTACAACTAGGCAGTTTGTGAGCAACACACATTCATTTCTCACGGTTCTGGATGCTGGAAGTCCCTGGTCAAGGCACTGGCTGATTCAATGTGTCAGGAGAGCCTGCCCTCTGGTTCATAGATGGCAGCTTCTCTCTGTGTCCTCCCATAGTAGGAGGACTATCTAGCTCTCTCTTTACAAGGGAAGTTATCCCAATCAGGAGAGTTCTGTCTTCTTGAGACAGTGTGTGTGTGTGTGTGTGTGTGTGTGTGTGTGTGTATGCATGCACGTGTAGTTTCTTTTGGAGATTCCTCCACCTGGACACAGTTCTCTGGTGACATATACTGAGGCGCGGTGTCACTTAGAAGCACTCACTGGCCTTTCTAGGTAGTCACAACAAATTCATATCCAACCAAATCAGCCTTAAACATAGCAGATAGAGTTTTCTACTGGAAAAACATATGTAATATTTAGAATCCCTCTTTGTAAATTTCACTATTAAAATTTGGTAATGATCAAATTAAAATATTTTTTGCCTCCACAGGCTTTGAAATCCTCCACTTGGACTTGAAGATCAACCCTAAATTGTCCAGGATGAGAAAGCAGCAGAATGAATATGGATAAGAGGGGACGAAGGGTGGGGAATCTCCTCTGTTCCTGATTTAGTCAATCATGACATGAGCTCTGAAGGTGGACTCCATGACACTGTTGGCTGTGGACCACTTGGGGGCGCTGTGGTTTCATAGAGCTGCAGGGAGTCTTGGGAAGCCTTAAAAGGTGTCCCAGGAGAGCAGGGATGATGGGGAAGCTGGCTGCATGCTTCGAACAGCAAAGCAGTTTGAGTTCTCTTAGTTGGTCCCGAACACTTGAAATTAAACAGAGTTATCACTGGTCAGGGGAGAGAAGAGGGCATGGGACAAGAAAGGAAGTTTCTCTGCTCCTATATGGGCAGTGAAAGGTGGAGTGGCCAGGAAAGGGTCAGTGTCAGGCCGGGAGTGGCACTGCGGAGGTGGAAGCAGCATGGAAGGACATAGGGTGTGAAACTGGCCCAGGAGGAGGGTGCTCAAGCTGACCCACCTTCAGATCAGGGGCTGTGCAGGGTACAAAGGGCGCTGTGGGTACAGCTTGGGTCTTGTCATTGGGTACAGATGGCCTGCAGGGAGGGTCATGTGAGAGCATGACATTGATGCTCTTGGGGAGACTAGAACTTCAGAACCTCCTGCTCAGCCCAGGAGGCCCCACCCCTCAGCCAGGAGACCCTGGGTTTCTGATGCTGCTATGGGCTCCAGGCTCCTCTGCTGGGTGGCCCTTTCTCTGCTGGGAGCAGGTGAGTCCTGGGTACGACAGGTGAGTCCTGGGTACAGCTTCTTCTCTGTGATCATTATTCCTGGAGCACATGTCAGCCCAGGATGGCTCAGCGGGACCCTTGCTCCTGGGCTCTGCTCTTAGCTCCATCTCCTCCCACAGGCCCAGTGGACTCTGGAGTCAAGCAAACCCCAAAACATCTGATCAAAGCAAAAGGACAGCAAGTGACACTGAGATGCTCCCCTCTCCCTGAACACCTCTCTGTGTACTGGTACCAGCAGACCCCAGGCCAGGGGCCTCAGTTTCTCTTTCAGTATTACAGTGGGGAAGAGAGAGAAAAAGGGACGAACATCCCCAGTCGATTCTCAGCGCAGCAGTTCCCTGACTACAGCTCTGAACTCAACCTGAGCTCCTTGGCGCTGGGCGACTCGGCTCTGTTCCTCTGTGCCAGCAGCCGGGCACAGCCACCCATGAGCATCAGCCTTCAGTACAAAATCATTCCTGCCCGTTTCAGGAAGTGGCCAGGAGGGTGGAGCCTCAGCCAAGCGAGTTCAGGCCTGGGAAGCTGCCAACCTGTCCCAGACACCCAGTGTGGAGTGCATTCATCTGCTCTAGTGCCACAGCAGTGGTGCAGGGCAGTGCATTCACCTGTTCCCATCCCCAAGGGGAGGCAGCTTCCTGGTCTCATGCAGTCATTGGGTGATGTCAGCTCCTCAACCCAGGTGTTCCCCCACCCCTCACTCTGCAACTGCCCCCTCCACTGGCTTCCCTCTCCCAGGTCCCCACTAGCAGGCTGGAAAGGTCATGCAAACATGCATCTTAACCTCCTGCGTGGGCTGGGGTTGTGGCTCAGTGGTAGAGAGCTTGCCTAGCACGTGTGAGGCACTGGGTTTGATCCTCAGCAGTGCATTAAAAATAAATAGATAAATCAAAGGTGTTGTGTCCATCTACCACAAAACAAAACAAAACCTCTTGGGTGACTTGTCCAAGGAACTGTGACTTCAAGGCAAATCATATCCCAATGGGTACTGCATCGTGAAGAAAAAGAAACAGAAAACTTTCTGCACTGTGGTCCTCTAATGCTGGTATAGACCAGGCCACATCATATTTCTCTCATGGTCGCCTGAGAGTAGTGAGAGTTCCCAGCTGGGGAGTAAGAGGAAGGGCATTTGCAGAAGTGTCATCTTCTTATGGGTGACAGTCAGACCTGAGAGGAAGAAACGGTATCATTTTTAGTCACTCATTTACTTTATACCTTTATCCAACAAACACTTTTTGGTACCTGACTGTGTCCAAAGCATAGTTCACAAAAGAAGAAAAAAAATCAAGGAAATGGGGGGAAAGGAAAATAGAAAAAAATTAAAAAAAAACTGCTTTGTGCCTTTGAATATACATACGTGTACAGGATTTTGATCAATTTCTGAATTGTGCACATTTACTCTTTAGCTAACTACCCATTTTGAAAGCTTTATTTTGTTGTGGCCCAGATATTAAATGCGCTCTAACTCACCAAGCTTTGAAGAGCACAGTATTCTTTATGTATGGACACAGTGTTGCAGAGCAGATCTCTAGAACTTGTGCGCCTTGCATCATGGAAATTTTGTACCCTTTGATGGCAGCTCCTGCATCTCCTACCTGCCAGCCCTGTCAACCACCATTCGGTTCTTTGTTTCCAGGAGTTTGACTATTTTAGATCACCTCTATAAGGTGACATGCAGTATTTGTCTATTTTTGACTGGCTTATTTCAATATGCATGTCCTCCATAGGTGTGGCTGTGTGTCATAGGGCAGGAATTTCTTCATTTTTTATGGCTTGGTAATATCCCATCATATGTATATACCATGTTTAAGTGGACACTTTTCAAACTGTACATTGTTTGGCTTTCCTATGGAAACCATGCATCACACTAGTGTCCCTGGGGACAGTTGCAGACCGCAAGCACAAGTACTCTAATATACATTCACAGCTCAACACTTCTCTGTGGAGAAGACTCAGGAATAATAACAATGTCATTGTTCATTACAAATTTGCTTTGTATGAAACATACTCTTCACTTGGAACATTTCATTTAATCAGAAATGCAGTTATCAGAGAAAAACTTAAGAAGAAAATGCTATTATTGTCAACAATTTCAGTTGAGGGAATTGACCTATAAATAAAATAACTTGACTAAACCAAATAGCTGTTAGGGTGAGACCTGAGACTCAACCCCTGGTTTAAGTCCTGTGTTTGAAATTCTATGCAACCATGAACATTCATAAAGAAAGATCACTACATTCACAATGACAGTGTTGTCCCCTTTGTCCCTTCAGGCCTAGATATAATTAAGTCATTAATAGACATCCATTCTTCATTAGATAGTAAAAAGATCTTGTGAGCGCCACATATGCCTGCTGACTACAGCTCCAACGAGCTCCTCGAGACTGGGACCAGTTTCTTGATGTGGTTGGCTGAGTATATTCATCTAAGAATGTCTCTATCAGTCAGAGCTCTCCAGAGACACAGGCTAATAGGATCTATCTATCTATCTATCTATCTATCTGTCATCTATCTATGTTCATTATAAGCAATTGGCTAATGCAATTATGGAGGTTGGTAAATCCAAAATCTGCAGGGTGGGCTTGTGGGCTGGAGAGCCAGGGAGAGCAGATGCCACACACAGCTCAGAGGCTGTCAGCTGACAATACTCTCTGACCTCCAGGAGGGTTTGTTTATTTGTTCTAGTCACACCTGAAATTGATTTGATGTGCCATCCACATTACAGAGGATGATCTAATTTTCTCTACTGGTGAAAATGTTAGTTTAATCTCATGTGAAAGACTACTGACTTAAATGATAATCTCATCTAAAACTACCCTCAGAGAAATTTCTAGAATAATGTTTGACTGAACTATCCTGGCAGTAGTCATACAAGCCAACACTAAATTTCCTAACTCACCATCTTCAGAGATGTATACAGATACAATAAATATAAATTCCATGGAATCTGGTAGAATGACAATGCTGATATCTGGATTCCCTCTGCTAATCTCAGAGCCTCGTCCATCATTCCTTTTGTGAAAAAGCAAATACCAGCACATTTTGCCTAGTTGACTTACAGCTGAAGATTCAAACATCACACAGAAATGGAAATATATATGCCTGATGGTTCACCACAGGAAATTAACTAGTATACATCCCTAGCCAGATATTTGATGATTAGCCTTATTGATAGATATATAAATCAAGGGAGTAAAAACTACAAATTTTAAATAAATGTGCTAATGATTTTATATGTATGTATGTATGTATATATGTGTGTGTGTGTATATATATATATATATATATATATATATATATATATATACTCACATAACCCCCCACCAGAAAGATATATAGAATAATATATAAAATATGTCCAGCACCAGGTAAATTTCATCATGATCCTTTCAATGAATTTGATTTGTCCATCCATTTTAATCAATGACATGATTTATATTGCAGCGGAATAGTTTTTCTTCAAACATGTTAACAGAAATTTTAAATCTCTACCAATTTAAAATAACACCTTCTCTTTAACATTTAGCTAAGCATTTAAGAGTTGGAGTTGCTTCTGGAAAGTCTGTGGTTTTGGAAGTGTTTGAGACCATATGACATACCTGATCCATGATAGGGACAATTCTGACTGAAGATGGAAGATGTGGTAAAAGGATCTTCACGTCTACCCCGCTGGCAGAGGCGGATTCCACTTTTACTCCTTTGCCTTCATTTCTTATCTCATGTAGTCATTCAGTCAAATTCTTTTGTGTTCATATTTGCAAAATGAATCACTTTCCCAGGGTATTATTTTGAGCCCTCATGATATTGCATCTGCACACTGAATGTGCTGGAGCTGAGCAAACCAGGGAGTAGTGACTTAACGGAGGGATGGTACCACACCAGGAGAGAGCTCTTATTGTCTTGATTCTGAGTGCCCATTAAGTAAGAAACATAGGCCCTGGGCACTAGGCTGATGTACTATGTGCTCCTCCATCTCCATCTAAAACACAATATCATATAATATATGTTATATTATATGTATCATTATTATATACCAGCTTCATAACTTGTTGAAACTTTGCTCAAATATTGTTAAGAATTAAGAATTTTCTAGATAATAACAGCAGATTATTAAACCAACCCTGAGGTCCTTCTACCTTAGGAGCTCTGTGTAACAGGATACAGTTTCTTAGCTCCCCTATTTTTAGCACTTAATAATGACAGGGACATGGACAAGGGGATATTCCCTATGAAACATAATGTCTCAAAGAAGAATAGCATTTTTTTTTCTCATCTTTGAATCAGCCAACTCTTTCCAAGTCCTCCACATACTTCCTCTCTGTGCCAACAGGTCACCTGAATGGTCCCCATTCTCTACAAGGGGAGGGAAATCACCAAAATGAGGTTCTCTGCATTGAGATCTCACCTGAGCACAGGGACCAAGTGCTCTGGGTGGATGAGAAGGTGCCCTAGCTACCTTTGCCAGATGTCCCACCTGCCAAGGAATCCACAAGTAACAGACCAAACATGACTCAAATGCTCATAAGCCCCTCCTGGGATTTAGAAACTGGATCTCCAAAAGTATTATTCACTGCAGGCCAAAGGCTTTAGCTGTGTTGTGATCAGTTGTGAACATTTGAAAATCATACTTGAAGGAGAATTTGGGACACACAGGTCAAAAGCCACCAGGCAGCCATAAGGATTTTCCTAAGTTGCTGGACTCCAGAAATGTTAGATGACTGAACCAAAGTAGTAAGAAAGAGTGACAGCGTCACTAGAACATAATATCCATGGGGTTACAGACTGTTTCACAAAATGGTCAAGAGAAACGTGATGACTGTGTCATTTTGGACAAATGGGTTCCATTCTAAGCCACTTACTTGGGCATTCATTTGGGGGCTGACCTTCTGGGGAAGGGGCATGGCCCCACGTGACAGGAAGTCTCTGGATTTCCTGAGGTCCCAGAGTGACACCTTGGAGGTTCCTGTTCTGCTTTCTGCAGCACAGGGACCTAGAAGACCCTTCTGTCTGCCCGGCCCCTGCCATGAGTCTCAGTGTCCTGTGCTGGGTGGCCATTTGTCTCCTGCAGGCAGGTGGGTGCTGGCAGGTCTGTGGGATTTCCAGTTCCCAGTGCCAACCTGTGACCTGGGGCTGCAGCACCAGCTTCTCTCTTATCCTTCTCTACAGGTCCAACAAAAGCTGGAATCACTCAGAGCCCTAAATCCCAGATGCTGAAGATAGGACAACGCATGACCTTGACATGTGCCCAAGATATGAACCATGACAGCATGTACTGGTATCGACAGGACCCAGGGCTGGGGTTGAGACTGATCCATTACTCACATAATGTTAGAAACGAGGAAAAAGGTGAAGTTCCCGATGGATACAGTGCCTCCAGGTCAAGTAAAGAGAACTTTCTTCTTACTCTGGAGTCCCCCACCCCCTCCCAGACATCTGTGTACCTCTGTGCCACCAGTTACTACACAGTGCTTCAGGGCCACCTGCTCTCTGCACAGAAAGGCAGGGGAGGCCCTGTGCCCCAGGCTCAGTGTCACCCTGGACAGTGTCTCACCACTGGGAACTTGGAGCTCTGAGGAATCCAGGCAGCTCTGGGGATCTCAGCTTGATGGCCTTCAGACCATTTCAGCCAGGCCTCAACCTGACCCTGGGCTCAGATGCCTCTTCTAGAGCACCCTAGTCTTTGCTCTGGACCATGCCATGTGGGTGGGATGTTCTTTCACCATCTTTACTTTTCAAGTCACAGGCTGTAGTCTACGTCTTCTGTTGAGAGCCACAGCCAAAGGGGCCCCAGCAAACTTCTAGCTGCCAGCAAACTTCCAGCTGCTGGCTGATGATTGGCTCACAGCGGCCCCAGCAACATCTAGCTGATTGGCTCCTCGGCCCCAGCAACATCTAGCTGATTGGCTCCTCTGCGGTGATGCTCATTGGGCTGTTTCCCTGCCCTTTCAGACCACGGAGCTGCTCATTGGGGGACTTTTTTGGCTCCGCCCACGTGACCCAGCCAATCGGCCTTAAGAGCAGGAGGATTGTGGGAGGTAGAGAGAAGCTTGTGTGGGAGAGAGAGGCTTGTGGAAAGCCGGTGGTGGCAGTTGAGGCTCTGAGGGTTTTTCCTGAGAGGCTATTTTGTTTGGCGTGTGTGGTTCTAAAAATAAAGTTAGTTTCTTTTGACAAGTGGCTCCTGATTGTGCCCAGCCAGACTGCAGCAGTCTTCCTTGATGAATGTGGTTTGTAATTTAGATCCACCTAGACTCCCTGTCTCTCCTGGGAACCCACGGGCTTCTCTCTCTCGGGCTCTCTCCTATGGCATCTGCTGCTGCTCACCTCTCTCATATGGATGTTTTCACAATGGTGCTGTTGGGTCTTACTCCTTTCACCTCCCTCTGCTCTCTCTGCTCCAGCCATACTGCCAACTCTCATCAAAGTATGGTTCTTCCCACTGAAGAGACATCAAAGGTACCTCCATTGCTTTAGGCAAAGACAAAATCCTAAGGAGGCTCCAGGTTCCTGGAATTCACCTCCCGAGGAACATGTTCCCTCTTCTCCCTCCCCAGCTCAATTTCCCTTATCTATGTCTATTAATCAGTAGAATTTAGCACATCTGGAATTTTCCAGATTCTTGGTAGATTATTCCTCCTTGAGGACAGGGGCTGAGGTTGCTCCTTTATCCCCTAAGGTGCCCTGTCCCCAGTGAATTTATTTCATAGAGAAAGGATGAGTGAATGACTGAATGGATAGATAGATGAAATACAGAAATTACCTAGGTCTCTGTTATGATTAAGATATTGGTCGTTCCTCAAAAGCTCATGTGTGAGACAGTGCATAGAAGTTTAGAAGTGAAATGACTAGGTTTTGAGATTCTTAATCTAATCAGTGAATGGATCCCCTAATAGGGATTAACTGGGCAATAACTGTAGGTACATAGGGCTTGACTGGGGGAGGTAGGTCTTTGAGGGTGTACCTTTGGGTATATGTTTTGTCCGTAGAGAGTGGATCTCTCTCTCTCTCTCTCTCTCTCTCTCTGGGCATGTCCTCACCTGTTTTCTTCCTCCATGCCTTTATACCATGATGTTCTCCCTCATCAGGACCTGGGGAATAGAGTCAGTCATCTATTGATTGAGACCACTGGAACTGAGAGCCCCCAAATAACCTTTTCCTCCTGTACATTGTTCTGGTCAGGTCTTTTGGTCACAGCAGTGAAAACACTGACTAATACAGACATTAGTATTGTGAAGTGGGGTCATTGCTGTGACTAACCTGATCATGCAATTTAGGAACCTTTGGAGCTTTTGGGAAATTGTGGGAAGAATTTGGGGAAGTTTAGTAATACAAGCTGGAAAAGCTTTAGAATTTTTGAAGTGAGTGTTAATGGGCAATTGTGGTGGGAGTTCAGAAGACCAGAATGCTGGTAGGACTGTGCACAATAAAGACTGGGCTCCTAATGAGACTGGGGCAGAGGACAGATAGCTGGTTATCCAAGAAAATAAAATGACTAGGTAGCACTTCCCCACCAACCAGTTGCTAACACTTCTCCAGGAGGGGAAGCATCTCACTTTCCTGCACAAGCAATCAGCCTCTGGATGGCTCTTTTCCTGCCTTATGGTCATGTAGGCAAGATAAGAGGTGGGGTGGGGGGCGGTGAGAAGCAAGGAAACTTAAAGTCTATAAAGGGGCAAAACACATGAGTACCATCTCTGGTCCCTGGCTTTCCTCTAGAGGGGTATCGCTTTCTCTCTGTCTCCTGTCCTTTAAATAAAATTTGTTTTCTACTCTTGGCTCAGCCTTTTTTGGGTGTTTGATCTTCAACACCAGGAGAGCAAGGACCTGATCTTGATTTTCAAGACCAGTATCACTGAGGTTTCAGAGGAGAAGGAAGACACTGCTGGAAATTGAACTACAGGCCTTTCCTGTTATGTACTGGCTAAGAAGTTGTCTGCATTTTGCCAGTGTCCTGAGCCTTTCTGCGAAGCTGATTTTAAAGGTGATGGACTTCTTAATCTGGTGGAAGAAATTTCTAAGGAGCACAGTATTCAGGTTGTCCCTCAAAAGCTCATGTGTGCGACAGGTAGTGGTGTTACCAGTGATGTCCAGTTCTGTTTCCCCAGATATGAAGACTGAACACCCAAGAATCACCAGGGCAAGCATAGAAAGCAAGTTTTATTTAAAGGATAGAACAGAGATAAACTTCTCCACAGAGAATGGGGTCCCAGAGCTGAGTATCCAAAGAAGTGGCGGTGTCCTTCTCCACCATGCGACCAGCACACTGGTTTCATTAATGAGGTTCTTGGCATAAAAGTTAGCTAGCGAGATCGAAATAAAACACACAGACTCAGTTACCTTTTTCTATGACCAGGTCTGAGACGGCTCCCCCTCTGGCTCTCACCTCTAACCACCCGGTAGGGCAGCAAGGATTACTCAGGACTAGCAGGAGAGAGAGAGAGGGAGCACGCCAGGGAGTAGCCTTTTATTGGGGAACAAGAAATTCAGGGGAGAATTCCGTCCAATGAAGGTTGAGGGGGGCCACACTCCAAGGTCAGGGTCAGTGATTGGCCCCCGGGGTCAGTGGTCAGTCACAACCCCCTATGGACAGGCTCTCTCATCAGGAGAGGGCCAGGAAAGCTCCAACACAGTTAGCCAGAGCGCCTCAGACCCAAACCGGGAGTTGCCCAGTCACATGTGAGAATGGCTTCCCACATATTCCCCCTTTCTTTTCTTAAAAATGAGGCGGTGGTTCATTCTTTGGAGTTTCTGTATTCTTGTTCCGAAGACTCGCCATCCTATAATTACAAAACAAAAGAGAATTAACAGCAAAGAGAATAATCCAATAATGTACCAGGCTGAGTGTTTAAGAATATTTCCAGGGTTGAATCCATTCAACTCCTTCAATATTTGTTTAGCCAAGGAAGAAGGATCTGAAAAATCAGCTCTGTTATTTTGAATGTCTTGGATATGGTGATGAAGTTCCAGAATATCCAAGCTATTATTACTATTCTGCCAAATACCTAACAAATGGTTTTTAACCTTCTCCCAATCCCAGAGAGAAGCATTGTACTTGGCAGCTGTAACACACACATATTTATAATTTGCATGGCATTTAAGCCTTTATTTAAATTTTAAAGCTGAAAGTTCATTACCTATGTCTATAACAGTCGCCTCTAAGGCGTTTAATTTAGTCTCAATCCTTTTATCAATATTTACTTGATTACGCAGAGCCTTGGAAGTATTTTGAGCTAAATTATTAAGAAATTTTGCATGCTGAATATTTTGAGACAATGTCAGAGACGCAGAGACAGTGGAGGCAATAAAAGAGACTAACGCCAAAACACCAACAATTATAACTCCAATAGCACGTTTCGGTCTTGCTGGCTGGGCATGAATTTGTTGCAAGACTTTAAACCAGTATCAGCATACCATGGCTCTGAAATATTAGCAGGTAATAAAACGAAAGAGGGCTGATGAAGTATCAGCACTCCTTTTCCTCCATTATACCTAGTAATACAATTGGTTAGGTTACATTTATTACAAGTAACAATATATCTGTCATTTATCCATTTAACTTTTACACTCCCAATAATTAAAACATAAGGAAATTGGACACAGGCTCATAAGCCATAGCAAGATCCCTCTTTACAGTTCTTGCCAACAAATTTTGGTAAAGGCTTATCTCTAAAATGTAAGAATTCTGAGGCAGCAATTAAGCACCAAACATCCTTTTGAACACCACCTTCACTATAAGTCAAAATATTACTAACAAATCCTGCAGGTGTCATAGCAAAATTTCTTCGTAATTGTCTCTTATCAATTTTTGGAGACCAGTCTAAAATATACCCGCTATCTTTAGACACCTTATATTGTACAGGAAAGGTATTTACACAATTCATCCATCTAGGAAAGGTGCCAATCTCAATTGTAGAACTATTTGGACAGTGGGGTATCCGTGGGGGTTTTGCAGAAATGACTGGCTTGTTATGGGAAAGTCCCATCTTAATTACTGATCTAGTATAAGGTTTTAAGTCTCCATAAATAGAATTATTTGTCAGTCTAGGTCTACCAATCGCTGTCTTTTCCTCAAATGATACTTTCAGACAGCCAGAATGTTTATCGTGGGACCAACACAAAAGTAATTGGGCACTGTAGCCAGAATAATTAAATCTAGTCACATGATTGGGAGTAATATGAGTATCTGTAAATCCTCCCATCATGAATGAGTCATTAGTAAATACTGGAATGGATTCTCCAGTCCACACAGCTGGGTGTACCAGGGGTGGATCTGGGAAATATGTCCAGTAAGTGTCTACTTGATTCCCCTTTACCTGACAGCCCAGCAGGGCAATTACTGTTGCTACCATCATCACTGGGGTCCTGTTCTTTCCTAGGTGTTGAAGTATTCGGGAAGCCTGGGTTATTAGCTTCTTCACATCTTCCCATGAAATCAGCTTTTCGGCTGGGTCAATCTGGTCTTTCTTCATCTTTTTCCGATATCTCTTCCTTTTGGATAGGGGCTCCTCTGGGTCAATCTTCAGTCGCTTGAATCTGGGTTCTATCTCTTCCATGTCTGATTGCGTGTTCAGGCACCCAAATAGGACGAAAAGCACCTTCTGGGAAAATACAAGCATGACCTCTGCCCCACATAATCACTGGGTCTGGGCCTTTCCATTGACCAGTCTGTAAATCTTTCCACAAAACTCTGCCTAAAGGGCCTGTTACTGAGGGAGACATTTGCCTCTCAGCAGCAGTGTGACCTGCGTCACAGTTTAAAAAATTTAAAACGAACAAAGCATGATTGAGGCTATTTTGGGGAGTCATAACCCTATTCCCCCCCTTTAATTTTTGTAATTTAAGTTTAATAGATAAATGAGCTCGTTTTACAATGGCTTGACCTTGGGGGTTATAAGGAATTTCTGTTTTATGATTAATTTGAAACTCTTGGCAAAATTGTTGAAAAGAAGAGGTTACGTAAGCTGGAGCATTATCTGTTTTAATCTGCATAGGGCACCCTAACACAGAAAAAGCTGCTAGGCAATGAGAAATTACATGTTGAGTATTTTCCTTAGTACGTGCTGTGGCAAAAATAAATCTAGAACAAGTGTCCACTATGACATGCACATAACATTGCTTACCAAATTGAGGAATATGAGTTACATCCATTTGCCATATTTGATTTGGTTTTAATCCATGGGGATTTACCCCTGATGGCAGAGATGGAGTGTGAATAACACACTTAGGGCATTGGCTTAGAATTTGACGAGCTTGTTCTCTGGTAATATTAAATTTTTTACGTAAGCTAGAAGCATTTTGATGATGCAAGGAATGGGAAGCTAGTGCACAGTCATATGAAGATATCTGTTGACAAAAAGTTACTAATTTATCAATTTTGTCATTACCTGAGCTAGAACCATCCGTGAACACCAATAAAACTTCATCTATAGGATGTGCACGTACAATCTTTGGAAAAATAAGTGACGTTAATGATGCAAATTGTATAATCTTATCACGAGGATAATGGCTATCTATCTGGCCAGGAAAATCAGCAAAGGCTATCTGCCATGAGCTAGAAGTTTGAAAAAGCCAATTAGTCTGTTGAACAGAAAATGGAATAATTATGATATCAGGCTCAGATCCAATTAATTGTAAAATCCTAGTTCTGCCCTTAATTACTAATTGAGCTATGGAATCATGAAAAGGAATTAATGAAGGGAGTGGGATAAATAAATCCACTCAATAACTCCTAATCTTTGCCATATGGCTCCTGTTGGGGTATGCTCAGTTGGAAATATTAGTAAATATACTATTTCTTTAGGATCAACTCTAGTAAGCTGTGCATTTTTAATTGCATGTTCAACTCTCCTTAAAGCCATTTTAGCTTCTAAAGTTAGCTGACGTGGAGAGGTTGGAGAAGGATTTCCTTGTAATATCTGAAATAAAGGATTTAACTCAGAAGTAGTCAGTCTTAAGGATGACTTCAGCCAATTAATATCTCTTAAAAGCCTTGAAAATCATTAGGGGTTTGTACGGAAACTGTTTCGCTCCGGTAAAATTAAAGATAGCGGCCCCCATGGTCGGCGTGATGACGTCACATTGCGCGACCATCACCTACTTCCTCATTCTCGGCCGGGGGAGGGGCCGACCAGAAGTTTGTGATTCGGCCAAGCGGAAATGATGACACGAAGGCGGGCTCATCCGCGCCATCTTGATCCGCCACATGGGGTTGAGTCCTGCAATATCTATTATCAACAGTAGATGGAGCCCTGAACTTAAAATTGCGCATGCGACACTCGTGCGCAAAATGGTTACTTTTCCTGCAAACGTAGCATCTCCCGCGGGGCTTTCGTACTAAATCTTGTGGCCTTAAGGTTTCTTTTAGTGCTGCAGCTAGGGCTACTGTCTGCAAATGGGTAGAGTCTATGTCAGAACATAAGCAGATAAACTCAGAAACTGTCCCTTTTTTACGGTGCGGCCTAAGAACGTCCTGACAATATTTATTTGCATTTTCTTTTTTTTTTTAAATTTTTTATTGTTGGTTGTTCAAAACATTACATATTTCTTGATATTTGCATTTTCAAATGCCAATTGTTTAACAATAAATTCACATGCCCCCGGGTCCCTGATTGACCTGTTTGAGGCCTGGTACAATCGGGCTACGAAATCTGAGTAAGGTTCACTTGCACCCTGCCTGATTTTGGTAAGAACTAAATTGGATTGGTCTTTAGAGATAATCTGCTTCCAGGCACGTTTCGCACAATCAGTTATTTGATTGTATACTACAAATTCATAATTTAACTGTCTTTCTAAATCAGCAAATTCACCTGTTCCTAAAAACATTTCTACCGGCGTCCCTCAATTTCGTCTTCTATTTCTTTCTGCCTGTTCAGTACAAAAATCAGTCAAATAAGTACACCAGAGCAAGAAATCTCCCCCACTCAGGCAAGATCTAGCTAAAGAAATCCAATCACTAGGAGGAAGGGGTTGTGAGCAAATATTTTCTATCAGGCTCTGTACAAAAGGCGAATTTGGACCATACGTCTCACATGCACTTTTTAGTTCCTTAATGGTTTTAAATGGGATTACAGCATGAACTCTAACTCTCTGATCTTGCTCATTAACTTGCTCAAAAACTGGAAAAAGTTGAAAACCGCTAGTATCCTCCCAAGCTTCCTGTGCTTTTTTAATACCTCGCTGGAACGGGGTAAGAAAGGTAATTGTTAATTCAGTGTACCTGTTAAATTTTGTCCTTTTAGCAGGTAATGGCCGAATTCGAATAGCCTGGGCAGGCGGTGTTAAACCCAGCCTGTTAAAATTTCTCTGTAAGTCCTGAATTTCAACGTCTGATTCTTCTCCCTCGGACTGCGAGTCATGGGTAGACTCTGCGCTGTCGCCATTTTGAAATTGGGCTTCTAAGCCACGTGGCGGAGAAGAACTCTGTGCCCCTCTAAGAACCTCTTCCGGATTTTCCTCCCCAGGAAGATCCTCTACCTCTTCCGGAGGACTTTCTAGGACTGCAGAGGTTTCTCCTCTATGACCTTCCTCTCTATAATCTCCCTGCGGGCTAGCCTGATCCTGCAAGTTTAAAGTCACATTCTTAACCTTCGGTTTGGCTCCTAGAGCCTTTGTTTTTAAATGGCTCAAGGGAAAGGGAATTAACTTAGCCTCAGGCGGATTTTCCATTTGAATAGACCTAATAGCTCTCTGAATGCCTTTTAATAGGTCTTCAGGGGGGCCACGAACTCTGCCCCATATATTCAAAAAGACAAACTTCCAGAGCAGTCCAAGTTTTCCGAGTATTCTCTATGCCTCCAGGTAATTCATGAGAAAGACAAACTTTTTGTAACTTCCTTCCTAGTTTCTCCCAAGTAAGTAAATTTGGAGACTCTTGTTCACAAAACCAAGGACAATATTTGCCTATAATCTTTAAGAATTGTAATAACTGAGTTTTCTTTATCTGTTTTCCTTTCTGATTAATTATACTGTCTAAAATAATCAGATACATTTCCTTATCCGTAGAAGTTGAATTTCCCATTTTAATTAATTTAACGTCTCTTTCCTTCAATATCTCCAGGTACTTTTGTGACTCTAAATTGTCACCACTTCCTTTATCTTTATCTTTATAGCGCGCTCCCACTCAATCTAGCTAATCTAGAATGCCCCCCTCGTGGGCACCAATTCCACCATGCGACCAACACTCAGTTTTTATAATGTCATGGATGCCCCCATAAGCCCACCCAGGGACTCCAATTGCCAGGTTGTTCATGACTAAAACACTCAGGGGTCACTACAGGGAAACTGGGTTAACTGGGCTGGGCGAAATAACCACACAAGACAGAAATACCTTTTTCTTTGGGGTTGCTGTCGTAGCTCCTCTGACCTTAAGGGTCCTGAGAGAGAGAGAGAGAGAGAGAGAGAGAGAGAGAGAGAGCTCCCACGTGCTGACCCATTTTATTGAGGAGAAGCCATTCAAATGAGGCAAGGGATCAGGTTTCAAGGGGCTGAGTCTAGCTTCATGATGTCAGCTGTCAGCAGGTTGACTGACATCTAGGCAGGCCACACCCAAGGGTACAGTAAGATAAGGGGACACACAAAGGGTGTTTCCATGGAACGGTCTATCCCAAACAGGGCAAGGGGTGCCACAGTCTGGCTGGGCAAAGTAACAGGGAAGTGACAAGCAACTTGAAGGTTGAAACGGGAACTGCTTTATTACGGAACAACAGCGGTATATATATATATCTAACTAATTACACACAACTTGACTCAATTAACATCATCTAGATACAGCAGTCAGCCAATAAGGAATCCTCATCATCTTAATGGCTCGCTGGTGTTGCTTCACAAACCACTCCTCCTGGCCAAGTGCCAGGTGCCATCTTGACTTGATTCGCATTCCCAACAAAGAAACAGGTGAGCATAGCTCCACCCGTGGGGACATAGGAAGACATGCAGGAGACACCCTCCCTGGAACCCAAGAAGGGCAGGGAAGTCTAGCAGCATGATGCTGCCTAACTGCCTCAATCACCCAGCCAGGGAGTGACTCAGTCACATGCAAGGTTGGTCTCCCACATTCCAGAACCATCTCTCCCTCCCAGCTGCTCACATCAGCAGGTGTGCATTGTCCAAGTCCTTCTTGGTGTAGGATGCCCTTGGTCCCCCTTCCCTCTGCCCACTGCTGCCTTCCCCATGAGATACTGCTCCGTACATGATTGTTGCCTTAAGGTTAGCCCACATTTTCTTACATTATAATTCTACTTTTCATTCACCCATTTAACTTTGTCTCGAAGACGACCTCATTATATGCACAGGTCTTTGATCACATATATTTTTAAAATAATTGTGACAGTCATTTGGTTGTGGTGGTTTGGATTTCTTGGCATTTTTGTTTATCTTGAGTAACAGAATAAAGAAACTTACTTTTCAATTCCTGTGGTTTTTTTACTAATAGTTTTACACTAAATATTATTTTCTGACATTCCTCCCATTGTATCCCTCTGCCTTTAGAAGACAGTTTGAAGGGGACCATAATTGCCACCTCTGTGATAGCAGAATGAGAGTGGTTTATAAAGCATGGCCACTGAAGGGAATAATCAGGGCTAGAATCAGCGTTGTGATGAGTGTTTAAAGAAATCGATCCTAAAACTTTTCCATTACTATTTCTGGAATTATTTCCCTGCTAATTATGCTGACATGTCCAGGCATTCCTAAGGCCTCAGAAGAGGAAATAAGGATACAGTCTCACTGATTGGCCACAAGATGGCACTGTGAGTCCACTAGACACCACTGATCTCTAGGGAGAGTCTGGAAGAACAGCCTAGAATGGAAAGGGTTAAGAACACCTTGGGCTTTGGATCCCATATCAGGCTGGTGTTGAGAAGCTTTTATTAGAGCTATGGGAGGGATAGGAGGTGCCTCTAAACAGATCCATAGTTAAACAATGTTGGCAGGATAGCTACAGGTGTCAGGGCAGCTGTAGATGAGCACACACTGCCCCAGAGGAATGTGGGAAACCATGGGCCAGGTTTGGCCCCAGCTCAGCACATTGCTGCCACAGCAACCTAGCAGCCACCTAGGCCATGGATCCTCTCACCCCAGGCTTGTAGAATGGCAGCTGGCACTGACTGCATTTAATTAGGTGACAGGTGCCCATTATTATCCTTCTGAAAGAAAGAGACAAGTAAGTGCACCTCAGAAAAATATGTGGAGGAACTTACCTCTGTGACTATCCCAGCCAAGCCCCCAGCTGATGTCTGTCTTGAAAATCAGGATTGGGTACTTGTTCTCAGGTGTTGAAGGTTAAACACCTCAGAAATGTGAGGCAAGAGTAAAATGTAAATTTTATTTAAGAGACAGAAGAGAGAGAGAGAGAGAGAGAGAGAGAGAGAGAGAGAGAGGGAGGGAGAGAGAGAGAGAGGGAGAGAGAGGGGGAGAGAGAGAGAGAGAGAGAGAGAGAGAGAGAGAGAGAGAGAGAGGTAGGGGACCCAGAGCTAGTGCCCATGGGAGTGATTGTGTCTTGCCCCTTTATAGATTTTACATTTCCTTTCTTCTCATGGCTATGTGACCAAAAGGCAGGAAAAGAGCCTTCTTGGAGTGATTGTTTGTGTTGAAAAGTGCAAACCATGCTCTGCCCAGAGGTATTAGCAACTGGTTGATGGGGAAGTGCTATCTAGTTATTTTTTTGCCCCCTTTGGTAATCGCCTGTCTTTTGGTTGGGAGGATATAATATGTCTAGAGCATTACCTGATATATATAATAAATTGTAACTGTATATTTCTGTTGTCTTATAGCATATAAATGCCTTATTGTTGTAAACTAAAGCATTCATATCTAAAAATTTATCCTATTTTATTACTGAACATGGAATACTGTTGTACTCATGATAGAAAAATTATTCACAGTGTTTCACATGCATTTGGTTTGTGCAGAGAACCAAAGTATAAATGAATTCTGCATAAAACTTGTCAACTTATGTTACACTGCTATGCGTTAATCCTTTTAAAAAAAAAAAAACAATTGTTTGGCACAAACTGGAATAACGGATCTGCTCTTTTTCGCAAGGATATTATCTTTTCCACTATCAGAGTGGGAGGGGCTTCCACTATCATCAAAATCTGAATAATATTGCTCACTAACAAAGTGCTTCAAAACTTAGTAGTAGAGGAGGGGGGATAGTAGAGGATAGGAAGGGCAGCAGAATACAACAGACACTAGTATGGCAGTATGTAAAAAGTGGATGTGTAACTGATGTGATTCTGCAATCTGTATACGGGGTAAAAATGGGAGTTCATAACCCACTTGAATCAAACATATGAAATATGTCAAGAGCATTGTAATGTTTTGAACAACTAATAAAAAAGTGTGAATAAAGAAAATGGAAAAAAAAACTTAGTAGTAGAAAATATCAATTGAATTATGGTTATAGGTCCTGTTGGGTCAGAAATGAGGACAGAGTACAGAGGGGATGGCTTGCCTCTACTTCATGTTCTCTGGTATCTCATCTAGGAAGACTCAAAGACATGAGGGGAACTTGATGGCTGGGTACTAGAATCATTGGGAGTCTCATTCACACCTGGGCTGAGATGTCTCGCACACTGAGCTAAGCAGGACTGTCAATCAGAGTGCGGAGATGAGTCCTCTCCATGCAGCTGTGCTCCCCCAAATCATGGCAGGCTCAGGGTAGTTAAACATATAACCAACAGCTTGTGACTCCAATGCAAGTGTTCCAGTGGGCAAGGAAGAAACCTCACTGCCTGTTATGACCCAGCCTTGGTGGTCACATAGTATCACCTCCATCAAGTTTTATTGTTTGAAGTAGTTACAAGTCTATCCAGATTTCTAGACAGGAGACACAAACCTCACACCTTCATGGGAGACATGTAAGAGCTTATAGCCATTTTTAAAATGCTTCACTCCTAAGTGTTAAAAACTGAAGCCTAGAATCCTTATAGAAGGAAATCTTAATTCATTTCCTCTCTGTTTGGGCCTCATTATATCACTCACTTTTGTGAGAAATCAGATCTCTAGCCTCCCTATCATGCCTGGAATGTTCTGGCAACATGGTGGCAGATTAGATTTAACCTATTAGAAATTAAAATACAGCCTGTCAGACTTTTATATTATGACTTAAATATAGGACAGGAATGTGCAGTTGTAAATGTTAAACAGCCATGGTGGACACTGAAATCAAAGGTTCAGGTGGCCACTTGTCCTTGATAGATATCAGATTTATTCCCAACATCACCATGTCTTTGTCCTTCTAGGATTTTGTGAAAGGAGATTTTTCATTGTATTGAGAGTTAACCCTTGAAAATTGGCCTCTGAAAAAAAGAAATAGTGTGAAAATCTCTATAGTTAAATAAAATAAGACTGATCAGAAAATATATTAATCTAGGTACACAGGATCAAATGTGAACTCAACATAAAACCATGAGCTCCAAAATATAGAAATTTTTAAAAATCCAAGCATTCTAAAACAATGAAATGGCAATATTTACTCTAGTAAAGAGCACGCAGAACATCTTTATCATGTCATAGTGCACTTTGGGTCAGATTAGAGTCAGTCCAGGTATTTAAAGTGTGTGAGAGTCCTAAATTCCTCAGGTAAAGATTTTCAAGGAAAAGAAGACTTGTATACATGAGATCATTTTAGTTTTCCTCTCTGTATCATGTTTAGTTTGGAACTTGTTAAGAAAGCGGGGTGGTAGAGTGGGAGAGCAGATAAGATAGCTAGCCATTTATGTGCTACAGTGGCTTGAATTTAAATGTGACACTTTTTTTTTGCACTGTGTTCTCAAACTGGTTTGGTATAATGACCTCTGTAGCTTACATTTCAGATGCAAGCCTTACACACACACACACACACAGAGAGAGAGAGAGAGAGAGAGAGAGAGAGAGAGAGAGAGAGAGACTCCTGCAGAGAGGATTGTACCCTGAGCTGGGGCCAGTGAGAGTGGGTATATCTTGCCCCTTTAGAGATTTTACATTTCCTTTCTTCTCACTCCCCTCCTCCTCTTATCTTGCCTAGGGCAAGGAAAAGAGCCATCCAGGGGGAGATTGCTTGTGTTGGAATGTGCCATCCTTCCCCTCCTCTGGAGGTTAGCAACCAGTCAATGGGCGTGTGCCATCTACCTGTTACTTTTTCTTTGATGATCACTACCTGTCCTTTGCCCCCATCTCACTTGCCCCTGTCTCACTAATTGTTTTCACATTTCAGTTCCCAGTTACCCAGTCCAGGGTTCAGAATATGTGAGAGTGAGTCTGGGGGTGTGAGGTGGTCTGCTGTGGGTTTGGAACAAAGAGCCACTTGTTGAACAGGCACAAGCCTATGAGCTCTCATTTCTGCAGATAATTTGTCAGAGGAGTTTTGTATCTAAAATACGTTACTGAATAAGTGTACAGTCTGCATATATAATTCTGTCTCTGTGGAATATCCGTTGTTATATATTTTATACATCACATGTATTTTACATATTATATATTTTATATATTAAGTCAATAGAAACCCCTTGTTCTTTATTTTTGGAAAGGACACGGAATGTGAGACCTCAGTATCCTGTAGCACTAAGGCAGAAATTTATGACCCATGCATTGTTTTTGTTCACTACAGGCTTATAAATATTTAAACATGTCATCTATGTATTTTCTAAAGTAAATCATGTGTTCTGAAGTTGAGGGGATAGATAGAGGAAATGATGTCACTGTGGTGACAAGGGACAGCCCTCTTCCTCTGATGCTGCTAGCAATGACCCTGCTCTGGTGAGCCTCAGTCACTCCTGACCTGTATGGGCACCAAGGTCCTTTTCTGGGTGGGCTTCTGTCTCCTGGGAGCAGGTAATTACTCAGAACAAGCAGGTTCATTGTATGTGTGTGGGTGTATATGTGTGTATTCACATGTATTATGTGTGTGCGAGCGTGCATGTTGACTATAAGATTTTTCTCATTCTTTTCCCATCTTCTTTCTCCACAGACCACACCCATGCTGGAGTCTCCCAGTCCCCCAGGCACAGGGTCACAAAGACAGGAGAGAACATAGCTCTCAGGTGTGATCCAGTTCCTGGACACGTTAGCCTTTACTGGTACCGACAGACCCTGGGGCAAGGCCTGGAGTTCTTGATGTCTTTCCAGTATGAACGTGCAGCAGATGAGTCAGGGATGCCTAGTGAGCGGTTCTCTGCTGAGAGGCCACAGGGATCCTTCTCCACTCTGGAGATTAAGCTCACAGAGCCCGGGGACTCGGCTGTGTACCTCTGTGCCAGCAGCTCAGCCACAGTGTGGCACAGACTCCTCTGTCCTGCTCACAAACCTCATCCTTCTCTCTCCTTGAAGCTCTGAGACACCTAGTGTTCTTTCTTTGCTGTTTTTCCTACAAGGGAAACAGGAGGACTTGGACATCAGCTGTCTTTTGAATGGAAAGAGACCACAGAAGCACTCCCAGGCACTGGGCAGGATGTGGGATTCTGAGATTCCTTTCAAATATTTTATAGCATTTTCTTTGCCTCTGTTTCATCCTTGGTCACATCCATTAGGAGGGTGATTCCTTTGGCTTTGTGTTGTTTATGGCTCTTGGGGAGGTTTCTGTGAGTCACTGGCATCCAGAAATCATTTAATGGCTCAGCTCTTCTGCTCACTGGCAGCCCACGACAGTGAGACCAACAGCAGGGCTCGCCCAGCTTTCAGGGCATCACTTTATGAGTCCTAGTGAAGCCAGAATTAGACAGGCAGTCAGCATACATAGGTGAATCGAGTCAGGTCGGATCAAGGAGGCCAAGTTTGACTGAGTCTGGGAAGTTGGAGACTGTCCCCTGAGGGATTGAAATGTTAATTCCTTCAGAGCCCTTCCTCCACCCTTACCAAGAACCCTCTGCTCCAACCTGTTGCTAAGATAACCTGTCCCAGGAATTGCCCCTCCCTACAGAGAGCTATAAAGGTGTTAATTAATGTGTCCTGGGCTCCTCCATCCTGCCCTTCCCCCTTCAGCCCACCTGTTTCCCACCTTTTGACTGTCCCATCTAGTGAGCACTCCTGGGTCTAGTCACATACTCAGGAAGGAGAAAGATGAAGGGAAGAGGGCAGGAGAACAAAGGAAGCCTACCACCTATAAAAAGGGCAGAGCACCTCGCTTCTTAGGATACCAGCTATGGCCCCCTTCTCCCTCCCAGGAGAAGTCTATGTTACCCCTTTTTAAATAAACCCTGCTTTATATGCTTGCCTTGGGGTGCTTCTCTAATGTTCAAACTTCAACATGTGAGGAAGCAGAACTCATCACTGAACGCTGGCGGTATCACTAGGAAGAAGGTGTCATTGAAGGCTAATTGTCCACATGCAACTCTTTCAGTCTAGTTGAAATGAAAAGCTCTAAGATTAAACAGCCTGTGATCAGCCCATGAGAGAAGTCTACATCATTATTAGGGGCTATCAAAAGAAGGAGACATTTCTTCTCCTGAAGATGGTAGCCAACATGATGGAGCCATGATTTGGTTTTGGGAATCCAAGGAAGACTTGGTCTAACCTAGGGTGGAGCCAGGGATGCAGGAGCAGATGCTTGGAAATGGAGATGGTCCTTTGGGCCGACACAGCTCTGTAATCCAGCACAGAGTCTCCTGGTACACTGAGCTTGTCTCTGCACCAGCCTGCCTTTAGCCCTCTCTGCTCCTCTGCTTCTTCCAGAACCATCTCTCCCTCCCAGCTGCTCACATCAACAGGTGTGCATTGTCCAAGTCCTTCTTGGTGTAGGATGCCCTTGGTCCCCCTTCCCTCTGCCCACCGCTGCCTTCCCCATGAGATACTGCTCTGTGCATGATTGTTGCCTTAAGGTTAGCCCACATTTTCTTACATTATAATTAACTTTTTATCCACGTATTTGACTCTGTCTTAAAAAATGATCTCATTATTAGCCCAGTTCTTTGCTCATTTATATTTTTGAAGTAATGATTTGGTTATGGTGGTTTGGATTTCTTAGCATTTTTGTTATCATGAGTAATATTATACTTTAATTCCTGTGTTTTCCTTACTAATAGTTTACAATAAATATTATTTCCCGCCATTCCTCTCATTCTCTCTGTCTTTAAATGATAGTTTGAAGGAAGAAAATCTAAGACAAAAACTGCCACGTCTGTGAGAGAAGATGAGGGTGTTTTCTGAAATGTGGCAAATGAAAGACATATTCAGGACTAGAATCAGTGTTGGGATCAGGGTTCAAGGAAACTGATCCTAAAACTAATCTATTACGACTTCTGAAAATCTTTCCCTGCTAATTATGCAGAGAATACAGTCTCAGGAAATAGCCACAAGATGGCACTGTGAGGCCACTGGGCTCCTGTGGTGTCTAGGGAGAGTCTGGAAGAGCACACAGGAGGGAAGTGGTTAAGAACAGCCTGGACTTGGATCCCACATCAGGCTGGTGTGAGAAGTTTTCAGTTATTTGGCTACCTAATCGCTGGGAGGGGTAGGAGGTCCCTCTAAGCTGAGATGCACAGTTGAAGAATGTGGGCAGGACAGCTGCAGGTGTCAGGGCAGCTAAAGATGGAGCATAAACTGCCCCAGAGGGAGGAGGGAAACCACAGGTGGGGTGCCCCAACTCAGTGCACTGCTGCCACACCCACCGTCCCCCAGTTCTTGCTAAGCAGCAGCATCCAGGAGTGGAGTGGTTGATTTGCCTGAGCCAGTGGGGAGGCCCCTGGGCCAGGGAGAACCCACAGGGTGTGGAGGAGTGGCATGAGGGCCCCACCTCTCAGGTGCCTGGAGAGGAGCCTCAGAGCCCCAGCTGTCATCCTGTGGTCACAGCATTAGCTGGGAGAGCTCCTTTCCATGGGGACCTGCATGAACCCCAGACTCTTCTGTGTGATGCTTTGTCTCCTGGGAACAGGTGAGTTCTGCAGCTGCTGGAAAACCCTGTCATGGCTTTGCCAAGTCCAGGCTCCCAAATTCCCTTTCCTCTGCAGATACAGACACTTTTTCAGTCTTGACTTTGCCTATGCTCCCTCTCCACAGGCCTTGTGGACGCTGTGATCACCCAGAGGCCCCGACACCTTATCCTACACACAGGAAAAAAGACAACCCTGGAGTGTTCTCAGAACCTGAACCATTATGCAATGTTCTGGTACCGACAAGACCCAGGACAGGGGCTGAAGCTGCTGCACTACTCAGGCAGTGTTGGCAGCACAGCTGAAGGAGAAGCCCCCCAAGGGTCCAGTGTCTCCAGGGATCAGAAGGAGCATTTCCCCCTGACCCTGGAGTCCCCCAGCACCAGCCAGTCCTCCCTGTACCTCTGTGCCAGCAGCGAAGCCACAGCAGGGCACAGCCAGCTGCTCTCTGCACAAGAAGCGCAGCCACAGGGTTCAGGTGGACTCTCCTTCCAGAGCCCCTGCCTCAGCCAGCAGAGAACATTGTCCTGAAGCCCCTCCAAGACTGCCAGCCTCCACCCCATGGACCTCATGCAGCATGGATATGAGACCTAGGTTCACTAGTGTGGGGAGGGGAGGTGAATACGCATACCATTTTATGTCATTTTGCTCAATTAGAAATGTACTAGCAATTGAGTTAAGGAGAGAGACCTGAGCTTCCAACATACAATTTCTATTCCATTTTCTTTTCTAGGGAGAAGAACAATGAAAAAAAAAAAAAACCTAAGCAGATTTAACTTCTGGGATGATCTGTGATTCCACAAGTTTAAATATATTATAAAATGTCACTTTTTCTTTAATTCCATTGGATTCCATGCAAGTGTTATCTGAAAATAATTTTAAAAATCTCAATAACACATTTAAAAATGCATATAGGATTAAACCACTTATAGGAAATTTTAGCAGATGTCCCAACAGGGTTATCAAAAAGAGATACCTACCTCAGTCTTTCCCAAAGACCTCTGGAGACTGAGTAGTGCTTGTCCTCTTCTGAGGGTAGATGAAGATAGTGACTTAATTCTTTAATTACTTTGGCGTGAGTTAAATCCTGAGCACCTCCATGCATTTCTTGTGAAATGATTGATACATAGTAATATTGGCAGCTGTTCTCTTTTCCTCCAGCCCTTCTCTCTCCTTAGCACCTACAGGGAGAAGCCCACACTCAGGAAGAAGGTTTCTTAATTGAGATCTGTTATCTGCAAGACCATGAGGCCCACAGCTTGGCTTCACAGGACATGCAAACCACAGGTGGCTACACTGTGCCCTTTGCTTCTCTGTGAGGCTGCCATAGCACTGGCTCCCAGGGGCCCTACGCGTGAAGAGGGAAGCAAATGGCTATTGGTAAAACGTCAATTCACCAATTGACCCACCTGGTAAAAGCCCAAATGAAAGGCTGAATGGTTAAGACTGATGAGTGATCAATTCTCCAAATTAAGACATTTATAGGAGTTCATAAATGAGTTCAGCAGCCTTTGGGTATTTTTTTTTTTTAAGTTTGTGTTGTCTACAGTTTTTATTCTGGAATCATCCTCAGATTTTTTTTCCAAACTTGTTAACTGGCCTTATTTTGATGCTGAATTTGGATGCTTTATATTTCAGCCACTGAACACTTCTCATAATATTTTGTGCAATATGTGTGTTTACATCTTTGGTTATTTTGTAAGATAAGTTTTAAATTGGACAGAATAAAATAGGAGCATACATCTATACACATCTCCCACTATTTAGCATTTAATTTATTTTCTTTGATGTAATTTTTATTAAGGTATAATCAGGAATAAAATGCTCAAACCAATATGTGGACTGCTTGATGAATTTTCCATCACCCAAGAAAGCTTCCTCGTGCTCCTTTCCAACTTATTTCTGTTCAAGAGGTAACCACATTTCTGATTTCTATCATCATTGATAAGTTTTGTTTATTCCTGAATATCATAGAAGTAGACTTATGTGCCACCTTTTATTAATTAATATTCCTTGAAAATTGATATTTTTTGAAATGCATTCATGCAGCTGTGTTCACTTTTTCTTACTGCTGAAGGGTGTTGCCTTCTGTAATGGACCAGGATTCTCTATTTTCTTTTAGAGCAATTTCGCTGACACCAGTCTTCAACTCTAGTAAATAAAGCTGCATGGAATATTCTTGTAGCAATTCTTTGTGAATGTGAATTAACTTCCCTTAGGTATAGGCATAGGAGTGGGATTGCTGACTTATGCTGTAGGTGCCTGTTTAACATTTTGGGGAAACAATCTAACTCTTCTCTGGAGTAGCTTCTGATACATTATGCTAAGGGATGCGAGCTTCCCGGTGCCCACCCTCACCACAGTTCATTCTCAGTCTTTTCAATCCTTCCGTTCTAGTGAGTCTGTAGTGGAGTCTTTTGATGGTACATTACTGAGCCTGTCTTGTCACAAAGTGACAAGTGCCCTTTCTTTTTTTCTTAATAGTGTCTTTAAATGAACTGGATTTTTAAAAATTTTTGTGAAGTCTGCTTTAGATCTTTTTCTTTTATGCCCCGTGACTTTGCATCCTAAGACATTTCTGCCCTCCCCATGTCGTGAGTTGCCCTTTTCTGGTACTTGTTCAACTGCTCCACTGTAGCAACCTTGTGGCTTGTCCTTTGTCATCTGCTGAAAAGGTTCCACCTCCAAAATCACAAGGTGAGCGTCCCTCTGTCTTCCCTCAGTTTGTTATCCTGCTATTGACATTATTAGCATCTTCTTTCCATTGGTCACTGTTCCTTCTCTTCCTTGGGGCCCAGGGAGAGGCACAGCTCCTGGGGGTGGGAGGGTGTTGCTACAGTGTGCATCCAGATGGAGCAACATGGTGTCCACCTGTACAGATGTGAATATTCGCTGCTGCAGCCTCCCCTCAGGCAAAGCAGGTGATCTGGATCTCCTTTGATTGCTATGTCCCTAAGCCACACTGTTTATTTTCACATTGCCTCTTTCTCAGTTTCTCCTGGCTCTTTTAGCAAGGATAATTGCAGCATGTTAGAAATCTGTGCACTGTTTAGGGCAACACATATTCTCAAGGTTCATTTCCCCTTGTTTATCTTTTAGTTAGGGTATTGGGAAGACTGAGGAGGGAGAATGAATGGATTATTTGCAAAGCTCCGAAAGCTAAGGAAAACTGACAAGTAAAGAAGCAGCACCTGGGCCTACGATTAATGGGTGACTTTTATTCACATTGGCCTCAAATAAAGATCAGAAGCTTTGAAGCCCTGGGTAGTTCATATGATGTGGCTTCAACAGAAAGCTTTCTACAAGGCGCTGTGCCATTTAGAAGAGAAAAGCAGGTACTGGGGAATGCATTCTAGCAAGAGAGGTGCCAGGAGAATAGATCTTGCAAACCAGGAAGGTTGGTTGCCCTCCCTCTCCCCACACTCTTGACATTGTCTTCCCTAAGCCAAATTCACTTAGGAAGGAGAAGAAAAGGGACTTAGTTACTATAGTCCATCAGGGTCAGCCTTTGAACATAGGATGGATATGGAAGGAAAAACATAAACTCTGTACCATGCAATGCATAGGATGATCTTTAGGGTGGTAAACTCCAAACTACCTGGTTCTATATTGTAGCTGTTCAAGTTGCAAAATTGTTTTAGGGGAACCCTTACTACTAGTAATTTAGAAAACTTAGGCTCCCTTTGGATCAGATGGAATAAATTTTGGCAACTCTGCATCACTGGCAATTCAGGAGAGGAGCTGGGAATACTGCCTGGGAAAGGAAACCTTGGTTTGAATCCTGCATCATAGAGACAATGTGAGGAGGCCCAGGCAGAGCTAGAACAGGAGAGTTTAATCATAGGCTGCCAGTCCTCGGCTCCTGGGCAGATGCCCAGCAAGGACCCTGCAAGCAGTAGGGGAGGAGGAGGGAGAGACAAAGATGGATATCATGGGTTCCAGGACTGCAGGAAGCCTTCAGGAGGTTCACAGCAGCACCGTGGCATCACTGGACAGCTCTCCAATAAGGAGCAGTGAGACAGGGGTGGGAGACACTTCAGCTCTCAGCCAGGGGTACCAAGCCTGAGCCCAAAGGCACAATGATTCTTCCTGAAGCTGCATCATGAGCCCCAGACTTTTTTCCTGGAGATACTGTGCCTGAATCCTCCACTTTCCCCTAGGAAGGCACCCCAGACTCTCTCATTCTGCTCTTTCTCTGTCAGCTTTCTTCCACGTAGAGGCTGGATTCAACCAAATTCCAAAACATTTGATCAATACAAGACAATAGCAAATAACACAGATGTTTTCCTATACCTGGGCACCTCAGTGTGTCCTGGTTCCAACAGGCCCTGAGTCAGGACCCACAGTTCCTCTTAGTTTTATCAAAATGTGCAGAAAGCAAAAGGAAATGCCCCTGTCAGATTTTCAGCTCAGCAGTGAGCGGAGCGAGAGCACCGTGGAGCTGGGAAAGGCAGCCAGGCATCCCTCTGTTCCTGCATCTTGCACAGCCCCCAGAATCACAGATGTTCTGTGCAGAGTCCTAGGCTTGGCGCTGGCAGGCAATGCAGGGCCTTCTACTCAGGCCTTTCTTCTTCAAGGTTTTGCTCCTTCAACTGGGTCAAAGGCATTTTGGTGTCCTGCTGAGCTCAGCACACACCCAACCTGAAGAAGCCAAGCTCGCCTGTGTGCACCAAAACTTTCCTCCTCTCCACTAGCACCTTCTGTAACTTGTCCAGTCCAGGTGTTCATTAGGAGAGCGAGCCCTTAAGGTGTGCTAGATTCTCTGTAAACACAAAATGTTTTTAATGTTTTACAACAATCATGCAAATAAATATTCTTATTTCCTTCTTATAGGTGAGAAGCTCAGGGACCATAAGCCATTTCCCCCAATGCCTCATGAGTTTTCAGAAGCAGAACTTGGAGACAGACTTGTCTATGTGTACAAATTCTATATATCTTCCACACACTCCGCTGCTCCATCATTACCCTCTGCATCCTGGCCCGCAAGAGGAAGTCCCAGCGCTGCCCTCCTGCATCCAGCTGTGCAGTAGAAACCTCGACAGTCATCACAGGTCATTGCCACAGCCCCTTTCTGACCCTCCGAGGAGCATATGATTTTACACTGATTCTTCTTCATTTTTTGTTGTCCTCCTGGGCTCTCCTGTTCTGCAGCTTGTGTGTTTATCTCTTATTGTGCACGTTTATGTACAAATATTTGATTAAATGCAACTGAAATGATAGTTTTCTTTGGGTCTCAAATAAAATCCTTTCTCAAGTAAATGCCTCAAAATGTTTCCTTACTTTAATACAATTTAAATTTTGTTTTTCCCAATTAAGAATAAATCTATTGAAAGGTATATTTTTATGTAAGAAACAAAGTAAGGACCTGGTGTGTGTGTGTGTTGTGGGGGATAGGTTTTCAATGTAGATGAAATAGCCTGTACAAGAAGGTCCATGAAGGAGAAAACCTGAGATTTGGGAGGAAAGATGGAGGGCAAAAGACATAGGAATCTATAGGGCCACAGTCCACAGAAGAGAACACACAGGTGGGGGCTGTGACTATAAATTAAATGTAGTAGAGGGTAGAGGGCAGGGACAGTGACATAGCCAGCTGACTCCACTGAGAGTCAAGTCTTAGTTCCCCAACACACAAACTAAAGACATTCTCCCTCCCTCCAGTCCCCTGACCTGGGGCACCAGGCTGCTCTATTCTGTGACCCTTTCCCTCCTTGTGGTGCTGGGTCATCTAAAACCCTCACCTGGGCTCAACAGGGACCGATGTGAGCCTTTACATCATATCAACAGTGTAGGGACCCTCCTTGGCACTGTCTCCAGAGTCAGATTCCCTCCATCAGGGTCTCCACACCTCCTGGGATGACCCGGACCACAAGACACAAGGCAATGAGACTAGGGCAGAAAGGGATATTGAGACTGTAATAGTTGTCTGCGACTATAAGTGCAGGCATCAATGGGACTGAAAATAAGCTGATGGCAAGAACAAAGGAGAAATCCCTGAGGGCTAATGACATCTGGTCAAACCAAAGATGTTGCCCTAGTGTGTGGCAGACCCTCCCAGATCTCTGTGCCATATCTTCCAGCAGTCACCCCTCAGCCACCTCTCTCTGCACACAACACTGCAGAAGGTAGGAGTGGCCTCATCTTCATGAGGCCACCAAGCAGTCAAGGGAACACGGTATCCTAGGATCCTCTGCTAGACTGCCCAGGCTGTGGCCCCCTGAGCTCTAAGCAGTCCTGCAGATGGCACTCTGCCAGTCCTGCAGGTGACAGGCCCTGAGTCAGGACCCACAGTTCCTCTTAGTTTTATCAAAATGTGCAGAAAGCAAAAGGCCAGTTTCAGTGGAACAAGGGGACACACTGGCACTGTGATCAGTGGATGCAATCTTCCCTTCCACGCCCCTCCTGCAGCAGGAGGGTCCCTGCTCTCTCAGTAGAACTGCATCAGCTCTGGCCTCAGCAGAATATCCTCTAAGTCACTGCCCACAGAACTGAATGTTTAGTTGAAAATAAACATATACACACACCATGGAGACTGCAGAGCTGTCACCTTTCCCCATTGGCTGTTGCTGATTCCGTCTTTCCCACCGGATGACAATCTCAGTTTCAAGCTTCCCAGACTGTGTCTGTCCCTCTCTGTTCCTTCCTGACCCTTCCCCCACAGCTTGCTTCATTCCTGAAAGTCCCTGGGTCTGCTCTTTCCTCCCACTAAAAAGCTCTTCCTCTTCCAGGCTGGATTCTCTAGGTCAACTCCTCCCTCCTTTTCTGTTCTCCCAGATCCATACTACCACCTCCTTAGGGAAGTATTTCTTCAATCATTTCACTAGGCCACTCCTTTATGATAGACATTCACACCTTCTAATATTCATAGCATTTAGCACTGTGGTTGTTTTACATGAATTTTACATGAATTTGCGTGTCCATTTAACTTCTCTTGAGCTCTACACTGGACACCTCATTATTGTAGGGACTATGGCTGTATTTGACCCCCATTTTTATTGCCAATACAGGAGCAGTTCTACTGCTAGTGGCCAATTGTTAGAGAATGTGTGAATAAAGACGGACCCCAAGGTTCCAACTCAGCCTTTTCAGAGGTCTGAATTCATCATTTGGGAACTTATACCCCTTTGCCTTTTGGGATCAGGGAAGTCCTGGAGAGAGTTGAGAAAGCTCTGTGGGGGGCATGTACCTAGATCCTAAGACTTTCTGCAGAACTGAGCTTCTTCCCCTCACCTTCTTGAGCTTGTCTCCTTCTTGATCTTCTTTCCTCATAGATCTCTTGGATTTTAGAATTTCCCAGACAGAGAAGCTAATCACTGGCAGAAGGATCAAACACATTAGAGTTAAAAAGTGAGGGAATAGAAAATGGATGACCTCCCTAAGAGGCTAGGGAGATTTCCCCCAGGCAGAAATACTTCTTGGGTGGCTTTGCGGTCATGAGGCCCAACACTGTAAACCAAATCCTGGATGCCCACTTCTCAGTGTTGATGAGCAATGCCAGGGACCCACAGCTGTGCTCACCAGCCTCCTCTAGTCCACACTGACCACGGGGAAGGATGTGGAGTATTTCAGAGCCCTCTGAGCCCTCTGCATGATTCTTCTCCTTCACTGGGTGGGAAAGGCTGGTTGGGACACAGAGATTCCATTTATAGAGCAAGGCTCTCTCTGTATTAGTCCTTGAAGACTTGTGAGAGTCATTCTGGGTGGAAGTAATCACATATGTGGTCACTTAGGGGGGCCCAAGGGTGAACCGAAGCCTTAGTTCTGCCTGAATGTGTCCCATCCTTGCTTTAAAGGCTAATGTGGCTTTATCTCCTTAGGCAGCGAGGACCAAAAATAAACTCCTTATTTCAAAGACTGGAACGTTAAAAAGCTAAAGTTAGGACATCTTCCCTGGGGACAACATCTCTTCTGTTCCATGTGCTAAAGCCATACTTGAGAAAGCTGTGGCCTATTGATAAACCCTGGGATAACATTGGGATTGACATGATACTACTCCTTGAATTAGAATCAAAGTGAGCCTTTCTAGAGCCTGGAAAATGTAAAATTGGATGTTAACTCTTATTGAGTTTGGAAATGTAGGCAGTGAAGTTGCTCACTTACCTTCCTTTTCAAATAAGGGTTTTGTTCAAAGCCTGCTCAAGAGTGAGGTAGAAGCCATATTAGCTCATACTCAGCATTAACTGAAGTCAACATCAAATGCATCTGCCTCCCTGTTCACCCACCTCCCCAGAGACAGACCACCCATGGGCACCAGAATTCCTGTTCACTCACCTCCCCAGTGACAAACCAGCTATGGGCACCAAAAGTCTTAGCTATTTTATGTGGCACAGTTTAATCTCAGTTTATTATAGAAAATGCGCCTTTCTACAGTGTTCCATGATTATAGCCTTTTCGTACTTGGCCCATTTAGACATTACAAATTCCACTACTTGATCAAAGATCTGAATTTCAAGTTTTCCTGTGATCAGGTTTCTAATTAGAAAATTCAATGATATAAAAAAAATTGCTAATGATCCCCACAACCTCCCAATCCAGTCCCGCCTTCTGTTGGTGACCCATATGGACACTCCAGTGTGTTAAACACCCCTCTTCTGTGGGTTCATGGAAATGTTTCTACCCAAATAGACCTTCACAATAACTGCCTGCCACATGCAAAACTTTTCTCTGAATCTACTTAGGTCTTCATTTTTGCAGATGGACATGGACCTGTCTTGCTCCTCTTAGCTGTTTCATGGTGTCTGAAGAGGGTCCACAGGTGCATTCCTGCTCCATCATTACCTCTTATCTCTTTCCTGACTAATTCCTGATTTCTGCCAGGTCTTTCCCAGAGTGACTGAATGACCTCTTTGTACACCTGATTTCTCCCTACTTCAGCACCCACCTGATGAATTCAGCTCTTCTATTCCTCATGGGACTAGCAGATTTGAGAGCCCAACCACCCCCTTTTCATGATATGACAGGGAGGGAGACAGGATAGACTTCAGTCCCCCAGACACTGCACCGTATCATCTAGTCCTCATAGAACACTGTGAAAGAGCTGTCCATGTCTTGCAGATGGGGAGATTCAGGTCAGAAAAATTAATAGCTGTTTTCATGGACTCAGAACTAAAAAAATGGTACATCCAGATGACCAAGGGCAATCTCTTTGTTTCTGTGTAGAGTGTCATAGGAGCCATGGGACATTGGAGCTGAAAAGGGGGATCCTCAGACTATTTGGGGTTGTCGGTCTTCATCAGGCACCAGGAGCAGAAGGGTCTCTGCATCTACTGCACAGAGGACAAGAACATCATGATATTGGCAGTGGACAGGGTCTAGAGATGGCTGATTAGGGTACTGGTACTGGAAGAGCTGAACTTTGGGAAAACTATTTCTGTTAAAAGATGCAGCAGAGACACAGATGTGGACAAACTAGAAAAGTGAGCTCTTGTTAAAACAAGGGAGGAAGGCGAGGAAGCATCATGGTGGCTTCATCTATGTGAAACATCTTCCTTGGATTCACAGGAAAGGAGGCACAGGCCCTGGGGAGGAAGACAGGTAGTCAAGGAACACAGCACGGGGCCACAGGACTGTGAAGACCAAGGATATCTAATACCAAGCACTTGTGAGGCTGTGATATGACCCTTCTCCTCTCAACAGCTTCTGTGTGTTTGCACGTGATCAAGTGGTTTTAGTGGAAATCCAGACATGCAGCTGGACTCAGTGTTAGTAAGAAGTCCATCTTGCACCTGGAAATGGAAAGGAGATTATTCCTATGACCTTGTCAGTTCTGATATTCACTAACTTGTCGCCCTGAGGTCAAGGATAGAAGCAATGGCAGTGGCAGTGGGGGGTGGGGGTTGAACTCAAAGTAATGAGAACTCCAGGCTCCAAAGAAGCATATGGCTGCAGGCGTGATCAGAGCACTAAGAGGAATGGTTTCTACTTCCTTGTTTTCTGTCATCCCCAAACCCCACCTTCATGGAGCCATGGAGATGAGGCAGCCTGGAGGAGCCAAGTCCTTCTTCTTCGCTAAGGAGGCAGAGAAAGCTGAAGAAAGACCTCGAACTGGCCTGAGGAGTAGATGTTGAGCTCAGAAAATAGACAAGGAGGAAAACCAGGGGAGGGCTTCAGAGCACCAGAGGAGGTGGGAGTTGGAATTTTCCCAGAAGTCAGTGGGAATGACTCATCTTTAGTGTTGGTGAGCTGATTGATGTTCCAGAGGTCAAATGGACGTAACTCGATTGGTTGGCAGTTTTCAGGATGCAGGCCATTAGTCGTCCTTGTG